ATGAACACATAAGTCAATTCCATTTCTTACCTATTATGAAGAGTGCTGCAAATAAACATGGGTTACAGGTATCTCCCAGTTACACTGGTTTCCTTTCCTTTGGCTAAGTACCCACTTCTTGGGATTGCAGTATCATATAGCAATTCTATTTTCAGTTTTTTTTTTTTTTTGTCTTTTTCCGTGTCCGGCAACGGATCGCAACCCTCAGTGTCGCCCCCGCACCAGACCGGGACCGGCAACGGGATCACAACCCTCGGTGTTGCTCCCGCGCCTCGCTCAGCCAGTGAGCGGGAACCGGTCTGTATGTGGGATCCGAACCCTCGGTGGGAGTGCCGCCGCGCTTCCCAAGTGGTGCACTATCCAGTGCGCCACCGGGCCGGCCCTATTTTCAGTTTTTTGAGGAACTTTCATAATGGCTGTACTAATTTTCATTTCCTCCAACACTGTATAAGAGTTAGCTTTTTCTCCACATCTTCTTCAGCATTTTTTATTTTTCATATTTTTGAAAGTAGCCATTCTAAGTGGGGTGAGATGATATCTCATTGTGGTTTTTGATTTGCATTTCCTCGATTATTAGTGATGCTGAGATCTTTTAATGTGACTATTGGCCATTTGTATGTCTTCTTATGAGAAATGTCTAATAAAGTAATTGTCCTATTTTTTAAATCAGATTATTTGTTTTTTGTACTGTTTCCTTGTATATTCTGGATACTAATGCCTTGTTGCATGAATAGTTTGCAAATATTCTCTTGGATTCTGCAGATTGTATCTTCACTCTGTTCCTTGTTTCCAACTGATTTTTGATAAAGCTGCCATGGACAAACGTTGGAAAAAGGGCAGCTTTTCAATTAATGGTGCTAGAAAAATTGGTTATACATATGCAGAAGAATGAAACTAGACTATTCACCACACACAAAATCAACTCAAAATAGATTAAAGACTTAAAGGTAATACCTGAAACTATAATAGTACTGGAAAAAAACAAACAAACAAACATAAAAACAAAGAGCAATTAATTCAAGATATTGGTGTGGGCAAAAATTTTATAGAGAAGACTTCTAAAACACAGGTAACAAAAGCAAAATGGAATAATTGGACCAGATCAAACTAAAAAGCTTCTGCACAAAAAAGAGGTTCTTTTGTCTCACACACACACACACACACAAATCCACTTACATTGTCACTTCCCTGTTACTCATTTCATGTGTGGTTGTGATTTTGTTTTGTTTTGTTTTGTTTATTTATTATAAAATATTTTGCGGAAGATTATGGATTTGTTAATGAGAGTTTTCATTATTTTTTTTCTGCTATTCTTGTCTGTTTCCTTCAATTTTGATTTTAGTATTCTTTTTTGTTTGTTCTCTTTTTTATGAGTAAGGTATTTTTTTTATTTTTAATTTTTTAAAGAATAATTATAAGGGGCCGGCCCGGTGGCGCACTGCTACAGTGCACTGCTTGGGAGCGTGGTGGCGCTCCCACCGAGGGTTCGGATCCCACATGCAGACCGGCCGCTCACTGGCTGAGCAAGGTGCGGGAGTAACACCGAGGGTTGCGATCCCATTGCCGGTCCCGGTCCTGTATGGGTGCAACACTGAGGGTTGCAATCCGTTGCCGGTCACGAAAAAAAAAGACAAAAAAAAAAAAAATTATGTTTGGCCTGCTTTGTCTACCAATGTTAATTTTTTCTTTTATGGTCCTAAGTATGGGTGTATGTATATGTATGTGTGTGTGTTCATGTCTGTGTTTATTGTGGTGTGCATGTCATTTCATCCAAGTAAACTATAGATTAGTATTCAAGATTCACATAATTCCATGACTCATAAAGTCTTACAAAGCTTTCAAAATTTTATGTCTCTTCCTCCACATGCCTATGGTAATTTATGTAGTTTTATTTTACGTTGAGTAATAATCTTCCAATAAACTCAAAATTTGTACTTTATTCACTTCCAACACAGTAGCTTTTAATTTGAAAGAGTAAAAGTGTAATGTATTTGAATGACTGTAAGCCATCTGCTAGATTATTTTTCAAGAGGTGTATGCAATGTTATACTATTATAGTTTACCATATTTCATGACTTGGTGCAATATTTAAAGTCTTACTAGACCCCAGAGGAGTTAATTTCTAACCTAGTGTCAGAGTTATGATATGAATTCATTTCTCATATGATAAGATTTCTTATCCAGTGTTAAAACATATATTTGGTTTTACTAAGGTATCATTTTTAACTAGATGCCAAAGAACTGTATTCAGTCAATAATTATTTACATGCAGTGCATTATTTCAGAACCATTTAATATTTCATTATTCAGTAAATTATTGAATAAATGTTGCTATTTTGAAACAGAAGATAGTTGGGGCATTTCTCTTGAGCTCCTCCTGTAAGTTTCATCAACAGTTGAACAGCTAAGATTTGCAAACCACAACATAAATGTCCATCAGCAGAGAATTGCCTAGAGAAAATGTGAGGTATATACATAATGGAATACTATTCACCTATTACAAAGAAGGCAATCCTGCCTTTTGTCACAATATGGATAGAAATGGAGGACAGCAATGTGTAAAATAGACTGTGTGATCTCACTCATATGTAGTATCTAAAAAAAAAAAAAAAGATCGAATATAGAGCAAATATGGAGATAGAGATAAAAATGGTGGTTACCAGGGCTGGTAGATGGGAGAGGAAATGGGGAGGTTTAGGTCAAAGGATACAAAGTAGCAAATATGTAAGATGAATAAGTAATATCTAATATACATGAATATGAAGGCTACAGGTAAAAAAATTGAATTGTATTAGGGACTTTTGTTAAATAAGTACACTTCAGCTGTTCTTGTCACAAGGAAGTATGTGAGATGATAGATATGTAAAAAAAAGTTGAGTAAGCCGATATAAACAATATAAATAAAAAAATTTTTATAAGGTAACTAAACTTTCATTTGCTGTTCCACAGGTAAGAGAACATTTCAGATCATTTGCAGGATATTTTTGGACCTATAACATAATATTTCAAGATCCAATATGTTATGAAATACCTACTGCTAAGCCCTTAGTTGGCACTTATTGCATGGGTAAATAGAATGCAATTATTCAAATCTGATTTATGCAGAATCCTGCCTAAGAATTGAAAACCAACACTTGTATAGAACAACAACAAAAACAAAGGACAATAGATTTGTTTGTACTACACTTGATCTTAGCCAAAAGGCCGAGAAGTGGAGTAGAATAGAGAACTCAGAAATCACTCCTCAGGCTTATAGCCATCTGATATTAGACAAAGGCAACAAACATCTACATTGGGGAAAGGACTGTCTTTTCAACAAGTGGTGCTGGGAAAACTGGATATCCATATACAACTCAGAAATCACTCCTCAGGCTTATAGCCATCTGATATTAGACAAAGGCAACAAACATCTACATTGGGGAAAGGACTGTCTTTTCAACAAGTGGTGCTGGGAAAACTGGATATCCATATACAGAAGAATGAAACTAGATATGCATCTCTCACCATACACTAAAATCATCTCAAAATGGATTAAAGACCTAAGTATAAGACCCAAAACCATAAAGTTACAAAGGGAAAATGGTGAAACACTTCAACAGTTAGGTCAGCATACAGGATTTATAAACATAAGCCCAAAAGCACAATCAGGAAAAGAAAATAAACAAATGGGATTATATCAAGCTAAAAAGTTTCTGCACAGCAAAAGAAACAAACAACGGGGTGAAAAAACAACTGACAGAGTGGGAGAAAATTTTTGCTAACTATGCATTTTACAAAGGACTAATATCCAGAATATACATAGAACTCAAACAATTATACAGAAAAAAAAAATGACCTAATTAAAAAATGGACAAAGGAGTTGAAAGGATATCTTTCAAAGGAAGACATACAAATGGCCAACAGATATATGAAAAAATGCTCAATGTCACTAGTCATCAGGGAAATGCAAATTAAAACCACACTGAGATACCAGTTCACTCCAGTTAGACTGGCTGAAACCCAAAAGATGGTAAATAACAAATGCTGGCAAGGGTGTGGAGAGAAGGGAACATTACTGCACTTTTGGTGGGACTATAAATTAGTAAACCACTTTGGAAAACAATATGGAGGTTTCTCAAACAACTGCGGATAGATCTCCATATGATCCAGCAATCCCTCTTCTGGGTATATATCCAGAGGTATGGAGATAATCATGTTGAAGAGATACCTGAACTTCCATGTTTATTGCAGCTCTGTTTACAATAGCGAAGATATGGTACCAACCTAAATGTCCAGCAGGAGATGATTGGATAAGGAAACTGGTATATATACACTATGGAATACTTCTCTGCCATAAAAAAATAATGAAATACTACCATGTGCAAAAACATGGATGAACCCGGAGAAACTTATGTTGAGCCAAACAAGCAAAGCAAAGAGGGATAAATACCACATGTGCTCACTCATATGTGGGAGATAAGAAAGAAAGGAAGGAAGGAAAGGAAGACCACAGTAGTGCCATGATCCAACAGAGGGAGGGAACATTCCTAGGGCTACAAATAGGATTGAAGGGGAGAGGGGTATGGGGAGGGAGTTTGGGGGAAAATTGGGAGGGGACAAAGGGAACAAAAGTAATTTCTGGTAATGTGTATGCACCCGTGTGAATCTGGTCCTCACATGATGGGCAGGAGGGGTGACAATTAGCTTTGGATCTCAAGAATATTCCTAATAAATATAAAAATATATATAAAATAAAAACAAAATAAAATAAAAAGACAGAAAAAAGAAAGAAAATGTGGAAGTTAAGAAAAAAGAGACTAGAAAATCAGAGCGGGATTCCTCTTAAAAAATAAATAAATAAATAAGTCTGTGGTCCTGAAATGTCTGATTGATGATTGTTTATCTTATGCATGAGAAAAAGCTAAGTGGTAAACCACCTAATGTTTAAGAATTGTATAAATTGTAGACCTTATCAGGGATATAATAAACTACCCTCATCACTAGGATATTAAAAAAAAAAAAAATCTTCGATTACTTTAAACTACGTGCCACTCATCATTGCTTCCTATGTCGGTGGCATTTTACATGCTACTGTACACACAGTGGCCACATTCAGCCTATCCTTCTGTGGATCCAATGAAATTAGACATTTCTTTTGTGATATCCCTCTTCTGCTCACTATTTCTTCTGACATTCACACAAACCAGCTTCTACTCTTCTACTTTGTTGGCTCCATTGAGGTAACCACTATCCTGATTGTCCTCATCTCCTATGGTTTCATTCTGTTGGCCATTCTGAAGATGCACTCTGCTGAAAGGAAACGGAAAGTGTTCTCTACATGTGGTTCTTACCTAACTGGAGTGATAATTCATCATGGGACAATCCTCTTTATTTTTGTGAGACACAGTTCAAAGTATACTTTGGAGCATGACATGATAGTGTCAATATTTTACACTGTTGTGATTCTCATGCTGAACCCCATCATCCACAGTTGGAGAAACAAAAATGTAAAAGAGGCAATGAAAAGATGATTCGAGAGAAATTGGTTTATAAATAAGGTGCATTTTCAGCATTGATTAATGATGAAAAGGATTTGGGATGTAAGTTTATATCTCTATGTTTAGAAACTAGTGAAGAAAATGTCTTGGTTATAGTTAATAGTGATTGCATATTGTAGAATATTGCCAGTTAAAGCATTGATCAGCCCTGTAATGCAGCATCTTTAAAATTAAGATAAATCGTATCACCTGTATGTCAATTACAATGTTCAAAGGGATCCATATTCTTTGATGTGAGTAGATTGTTGTTCATCATTGTGTAATTTGATTTTCACTTTCAGTGACTAAAGCTATATCTTCAGGCTCGTGTTGATTGTTATACCCTCACTTTGCTTATAGTAAGTCTTCAGCACTCATTTGAATTTACTTCCTCATTCTGGAATCCCTGCAAAGTACCTCCCAAATGTTACTTTCTTTTTGATCTATATGCCCTCACACACTGAGATCCATCCATGCTTCTGGGCATGTTTTTGCTATAGTTGGCTCAGTTTTATATAGTTTTATCTCATTATTAAGGTCTTACTATGCTACTTCCCAATCATAGAAATGAATTGCATCTCTTCTGAACATACTAAAAATAGACTGATTCTAGATAATAATATTTACTGAGAGTGTACTTCAGTTCAGTTCTAAGAGGAAAGTTTATTGCAACAAATGTGGTATATCTTGGAGAATGTACCATAAGCTGATAAGAAGAAGGTATATTCTTTAGCGTTGGGTGAAATGTCCTGTAAATATTTGCCAAGTTCAGTTGGTCTACGGTGTAGGTTAAATCCTGTGTCTCTTTGTTGACTTGTTACCTGGAATATCTGTCCCATATGGAGAGGGGTGTGTTCAGATCATCCACTATTAATGTATTAGGTCTTATTTCTTTCTTTAGGTCTAAGAGTGTTTGCTTTATATATATATATATATGGGTGGTCCAGTGCTGGGTGCATATATATTTATGATTATCATGTCTTCTTGTTGAATAGATCCTGTTATCATTATATAGTGGCCTTCTTTGTCTCTTTTTATGATTTTTGGTTTAAAGTCTATTTTATCTGATATAAGAATAACTACTCCTATTCATTTTTGGTTTCCATTTGCATGGTACATCTTTTTCCATTCCTTCACTATTAGTCTACATGTGTCTTTACAGGTGAGGTGAGTCTCTAGAAGACAGCATATAGTTGGGTCCATCTTTTTAATCCAGTCAATCAGGCTGTGTCTTTTGAGCAGGGAGTTTAATCCATTTATATTTATGTTTTTTTATGTTTTCTAGCTGGATACATCCCTTTATCTAATGACCTTTTTTTGTCTTTTTTTAAATTTTTGGTTTAAAGTCTATTTTGTCCGATATAAGAATAGCTACTCCTGCTTGATTTTGCTTTCCATTTGAATGTCATATCTTTTTTCCATACCTCTGCTTTTAGTCTATGTGTGTCTGTACAGGTGAGGTGGATCTCTTGACAGCATATACTTGAGTCTAGTTTTTAAATCCAATCAGTCAGTGTGTGTCTTTTAAATGGGGAGGTTAGTCCATTCACATTTAGGGTAGATATTGACAAGTGTTTCTTAATCTCTGTCATTTAATTGCTTTTTGATTAGGTGACTTAAATATCTTTTGATCATTATTTCCTCTTTTATTTCTCTTCTTCAATGTTAGTTGGGAGCTTAAGATGGAATGATTTAGCTTCTTTCACTTTCTTGGTGGCATTTTTGTTTTAAATATGGGTTTTGCTCTTTCTTGTGTATTTGTGATAGTGCTCAAAATTATTCCGATTCCAGATGAATGAATCCCTTGAGAATCTCTTGCAGGGCTTGTCGTGTGGTGCTGAACTCCCACAACTTTTGTTTGCCTGGGAAATAAACTATTTCTCCCTAATTTCTGAAGGAGAGACTTGCTGGGTAAAGAATTCTTGGCTGAATTTTTTTTCTTTTAGTATTTTGAATATATCATTCCACTTTCTTCTTGCCTGTAGTGTTTCAGTTAAGAAGTCTGCTGTTAGTCTGATGGTGGTTCCCCCTATAAGTGACCTGATGCTTTTCTCTTGCTGCTTGTAGAATTCTCTCTGTCTATGAGCTTTGTAAATTTAACTATAATAATTCTTGGAGAGGATCTTTTTGGGTTGAATCTGTTTGGGGACCTTTGAGCTTCCTGGATTTGAAGGTCTGTATCCCACCCTACACCTGGGAAGTTTTCTGTCACTATTTTCTTGAGTAGGTTTTCAATACCTTTTCCTTTCTCCTCCCATTCAGTTATACCCACAATTTGGATGTTAGAGCACTTGATTTCGTCTGCTATCTCTCTTAGATTTTCCTCATTATTTTTAATTCTTTTTTCCTTTTTTTTTTTTTTTTTTTGTCTACCTGAGTTATTTCACAAAGACCATCTTCAAGCTCTGAAATTCTTCTGGTTGCTCCACACTGCTGCTCAAGCTCTCAGTTGTGTTTTTTTTTTTGTTTGTTTGTTTGTTTGTTTGTTTGTTTTATTTCATTGAGTGACTACTTCATTTCTAGAAGTTCTACTACACTCTTTTGTTAAGTTATTAATGTCTTTGTAGATTTCTTCGTTCATAATCTGGATATTTTTTTCTTGTTTAATTTGGTTCTATAATTGAGTCTTCCTTTATTTCTTCAAGTTTTCTTAAGATCATTGGTCAAAATTCTTTTTCAGACATTTCAAGGATTCCCTGCTCCAAGAAGTCTGACTTTGGTGCATTGCTCTGTTCTTTTGGTGGTGTCATTTCTTCTAGATTGTTTGTACCTCTAGTACTTTTCACTAATGCTTTGTCAGTTGGTAGAAGGTTTGATTCTTCTCTTACACTGAGGTTGGCTGTGTAGTGGCCCTCGCTACTACTGTGGAGGTGAATTGTCTTTGCTTGACAGTAGGTGTGGTGGTGGTTATGTTAAATCACCTGGGTTCCTGCTCCAGACTCTGTGGTCATAGAATGACCTTGAAGCACCATGTGGTTCTGCTGGGCACATCTCAGTGGGTCAGATCCCACAGGCTGCTGCTCGCCCCTGGGTCCAAGGAAGGGGGAGGGGCTGCCTCTAGCCACATGGTACTGCTGCTGCTGCTGCTGGATGCTCACCTCAGCAGCATAGGTTTAGGGTGCCTAATCAAAAGTATTAACAACAAAAAAAGCTCAATCAGTGGAACAGATAAACTATTTAGCAATAGATTTACACATATATGTTCAGTTTACTTTTGACAAAGATACCAAGGAAAATCCATTGAGTAATGATACACTTTTTTAAAAGGGTGCCCAAATATTTGAACAGTCCTATATGAGAAAAAGAAACATCGACTCATTCGTTACGCCATATATAAAATGAGTCTCAAAATGAATCTCGGACATTAATATAAACCTAATGCTATACATATAACATTTCTACAGAGAACACAGAAAGATATTTCTGTGACCATGTGTTAATTTGCTAGTTGCACATTTTTATTTAAAGCACAAAATGCATGAAGTATAGCAGAAAAATGCTATATCATACTTCATCACAATTGAAATCTTCTTCTTTGTGAAAGACATCTGTTGAGAAAATGAACAAACAATCCACAGGCTTGAAGGAAAACATTTGCTAAACAGTTATTCAATAAAGAACATGTATCCAGAATACATATGAAATACTCAGAATTATAAGAATTAATTTGAAAACAAAAGGAATACAATAAAAATGGGCATAAATTTGGACAGACACTTCATAGAAGATATGTCCATGAAAATGTTCTTAAATATCAAATTGAAAAGAAGTGAAGTTTAGAATTATAAGGTAATTCTATACATCTGTTCAAATGAGCAAAATGTTAAAATATAATAATATCTGACAATACAAAGTACTTTCAAACATTCAGAGCACCTGCGACTATCATCCAAGGCTTGTTAAATTTCAAATGACACAGCCACTTTAAAAGCCAATCTGATAATTCATTATGAAGAGAAACATACACTTACCTAAATATGACTCAGAAATCTCCATTATTTAGTCGAGAAATAGCATATGTATGCACATACACAGTCATATCCTAATGTTTATAATGCCTATGTTCACAATATTTCCAAACTGAAAACAAACTAAATGTCTGACAACTAGAGAGTAGATAAACTAACTGTGGTACATTTGTAGAAAGGAATACTACTCAGTGATAAATAATACATTGAAGTATGTGAACAGGTCTGAAATATATTTTGTTATGTGGAGCAAGCCAAACTCAAAAGTGTACATGCAATATCATTCCATGCATATCACATTCTGGGCAAAGAAAAATTACAAAAAATGGGGAAGACATCTGTTGTTGCCAGGACTAGAGGATAGAGGGAGTTTATTGAGTACAAAGTGGTATAAAAGGACTTTGTAGAAAGATGGAAATGTTGTGTAGCTTGATTTTATTATTACAATTGTATGTGATTGACAAAATTCACATAATTGACACCTATAGATAGTGGATTTTTATAAATTTATATTAAAACATAGTAATTCTAATGTTAAAAATTTGTTCATAAAATTATACTTTGCTTCAAAATGGGGGATAGTGACGAGAAAAAAATATAAGGGGTCTTTAGGGGTGCTGGCAATGTTCTGCTTCTTAGTCTTGGTCGTATTCAGAGTGATGTCCCATTCAGAAAATTTCATCAAGTGCTAAACTTATATGTACCATTCTGTGCATATTGTCATCAATAAAAGTAATACACACACACACACACACACACACACACACATATAACCAAGTATTTTGCTGTACATTTTCTAAGAAGTTCAAACAATCCCTATAATTTAAAAAACCTTTAGCTTTTTTAAAAATCTATTTTTACTCATTTTGTTGTTGTTGCTGTTGCAGCTGGCCAGTACAGGGATCAAACCTTGGTCTTTGTATTATCAGCAACAAGCTATAACCAAGTGAGCTGACCGGCCAGCCCCTAAATGCTCTTTAAATAAGTCTTATCTTATTGATTCTCCCACTAATGAGGCAGTTAAGT